TTATTATTATTACTATTATTAATGGCTAGATTGACGTCACATGCATGACGTATATGAGTAGCGAAGCAAGGAGCGCGTGGTCACGTCATTAAACTGTATATGTAATAACATTATATATACACGTGCCTTGGGTAGCACAGCCATCTTAAAATCACTGTCGTCCATAATCTCATTTAACACCTTCTTACATTGATTAAAGATTTACCCCATGTATTCATATTTTAAATGATATGATTCATATTTATTTATTTATTTATTCCAATTAAATATTAAATATTAAATATTAAATTAAAAGAAAGCGAGGATGAAACTATTCATAATCGTGGGAGTAGTTGGGGCCTGATGTCTTATATTGGTCGTGTTGACTGCTACGGAGTGGGTTGGTTGGTATGGTAAATTTATGGGGGGTGGGAGGTGGTAGTATAGTAGTGAATGAGACGGATTTATGAGGTGGGTGGTACGTTAATGCGGGGTGGGTGGTATGGGGGAGATGATATGGGGTTGTTAGGGTTGGGGTGGTACATTTCTGGTGGGTGGGATGGTATGAAGTGTATTATGAGGAGGAGGGCTAGGGTTAAGTGTGGCACATGAGTTGATGAGTGAGGGTATTTGGGGTAGGGTTCCTGGTAGGCGGTTGGTAGACAGGTGCTATGTGATGCATGGATAGACGGTATGTGATGGAATCGATTTAAACGTGTGGCAGAGCATGATCGATAACCTAATCGATAGCCTCTAATACTCAATCAATTCCTATATAGGGATAATAATAAAAAAACACTGCAACTACGGGAGCATCTCTCGAGGAAAAACGGGGAAGAAAAAATATGTAAAAAAACAGGAATTCTCGCATCTCTCTATCTCTCTTTAGGAAGTCACTTCCGCCGCGCCAGTAGCGCCTCTAGCGGCGTATTACTGTTTGTGCAATTGCAGCCATGCCACACGTATGCAACCCAGTCTAGCCGTTTCTATAGTACAGGAGCTAAAGAATATAATTGTGCACTTTTTTTTACTACTCGCTATACAAGGGGTGCGGTGCAATTTCTATCTAGCGAGCTTCATTCTAACTGACTAGTGCAAGGAGAACGTACTGCAGTGTATATACGGCTTGCTTTATTACATCATGCACGGGCGTGAGGGCGCAGGTTAGACAGGGTTACACAATTCCCTACCCTACCCCTCCATCTATTTCCTCCAGTCCTTTCTCATTTGTCTCGATTTCAAAATATCCCTACCCTACCCCTCCATCTATTTCCTCCAGTCCTTTCCCTCTTTTCTCGATTCCAAAATATCCCTACCCTACCCCTCCATCTATTTCCTCCAGTCCTTTCCCTCTTTTCTCGATTCCAAAATATCCCTACCCTACCCCGCCATCTATTTCCTCCAGTCCTTTCCCTCTTTTCTCGATTCCAAAATATCCCTACCTTACCCCGCCATCTATTTCCTCCAGTCCTTTCCCTCTTTTCTCGATTCCAAATATCGCCTACCTTAGCCACCTCCATCTATTGTTCTTTCTGCCAGTCCTTTCCTGCTTCCTCGATTCCAAAATATCACATTACGCCCTACCGCTCCATGCTATTTCGCCGGCAGTCCTTTTCTCTTTCCTTGATTGCCAAAATATGCCCTAAACCCTACCCTCCATCTATTTCCTCAGTCCTTTCCCTTTTTTTGCTCGATTCCAAAATATCCCTACCATACCCCTCCCATCCATCTATTTCTCAGTCCTTTCCAACTGCTTTCTCAATGCCAAATCTCCGGCTACCCTACCCCTGCCATCTATTTTCTCTCAGTCCATTTCCCTCTTTTCTCGATTCCCAAAATATCCCTACCCTACCGCCTCGCATCTATTTCCTCCAGTCCTTTGCTCCGTTCGCTTGAGTCAAAAATATCCCTACCCTACCCCTCCAACTAACGGCATCAATACCTCCACAACAGCCTACACGTACACATCTGCCAGCCCCCGCTCTGGTTTTCGTTTCTACCTGGCGCTGACTTCCATAGAGAGAATCGGCGAAATCGGGAGAAATCTTAAAAGGACAGGTTCGAACAAACAAATAAATCTAGCTCCGCTAGATGGCGCGTGCAGCAACGCCACAGCTGCTAGTTGAGGATTACTTTTGCTGCGTTGTAGTTTGCGACCTGAACGGAACGTCTCCACACCTGCATTGCCATCCTCGCCGCTTAGATGTCGTGACAGTAGTCCTCACATCGTGCTGCTGGCGTGTCCGCGGCTTGTTTTTTGTGTGTGTAGAAACAATCATTTTCTATTTACCGATGGCTTGGCCTCACGGCACCTGCGGTCATTTCTCGTTCCCCGCTCCACATTTATTTCGATTTAAACATCGACTTTGAAATCGATTGATTACGTGATAGCGCTTGTACGCAAAAAATACAGCTGTCACGACTTTATAGCCCTGCGATTCAAACGATTTCGAATCGATCGTTTATCGTTTATATCCCATACGCGTGGGGAAACGTCGATTACGCGAAAAAATTTGTTAAGAAAATAAACACATTAAAATAATGCAACTCCTAATTCGTGGTAGTCACGACTTATACGCTTCTCACACTAACCGGCATTAATTACCAAGCGGAGCGACAAAGTATAAAAAATTAAATCGTAAGCATATTTAATGATATTAATGTTACGACTTAGTAATGTTACGTTAGTTTTTAATTTAGGTGTCATTTTAGTCGGTAATTAATCAGATGCAGCCACGCTGTCATGAAGCATCCGAACATAATGTCTCGTGTAAAAAGTTCTATAATAATAATATCTAATATTCACATGTATGTCGCAACCTCCCCTTTTCAATGTAAGCATCCACTGGAAAAGTTGCCGAATATCATGGACTTACGAAATTCATTTTTGCTTTGATGGATCTGACAACGGGTGCTAAAGTTAAGTAAATCTAAGTTATTAAGTTTTTGTAAGGTATATATGCAATAGCCTTGTCCATCGACCTTGTAACGTAAATATTTGTTGTGACCATTTTTTTGGGTCAAGCATGTCGCGCCACCTTATAAACAATTAACTTCTCACGCACCTCTAAATTTCCTACGCCGCCTAAAAAACTCATGCAGCCTCGAATGATTACGTGACGATCAGCATTAAACTGGCCGTATAGGGGTATACACACGCGTCTTCCTTCTCTCGTACGTTTTCCCACTAGCAAATAGACGTGACGTCATCAATCGTCATCGTCATCGTCATCGTGCATCGTCATCGTCATGCGTCATCGTCGCGTCTTCTTTAGCCTCTTCGTATTCGCAGTTCGTCGTCGATCTCCAATGAGGCCCTCTTCTCGTGACAGTTGTGCACGAAACAGAGTCGTAGGTTGTCACCTGCTGTCAAGCGATAATTCCGTAATTAACGTCATATTTAAATTCCGTATTAATTATTATAATTATCACGTTCGCACAGTTTCTAATCTACATGCTGTAAAGTCTCGCATCCAGCGTGCATCGATAATCGAGTTGAGCATAATCAGAGATACAATTAATTGGAGCCTGAGATGATATATTATTTGGCTTTGATCCGCCGGTTACTAATATACACATTTACATTTAAAATAAATTTTTGGGTTTAAAAGAATTCATAACAGTAATAAATTGTTAAAATAATATATATAGGTCATAAAATGTATAAAAGTATATTTGAGTATGCTATGCGGCGAGCGACGTGATTTTAATTACAACTGATTCTACTAAAATCGCGTCCGCGAGTACAATGACTTCATTGTACTTAAACTTTATTAATTAACAAAATTTAAGAATTGTTGCGCGACACATCTGCCGCGGACTAAGATCCGGTTTACTCGGCGAAACCTTCGGCTGCTTTCCCATCCGTGCACGGGGCCTATATAGTAAAGGCTAAATATAGAAGCTGGCCCACTCTAACAATAGCTGCTAGACTCTCAGATGCTGATACAGCTGTACTGGGCTAAATGCGAAAGGAGAAGGGTACCTCTGTAGTTTTCTCTTCATCGTTTCCTTCTCTTCCAGCCTGCTGGGCTTCCTTATGGAAGCGACCCTGCAAAACACACGTTAGAGTGAGAAAGTCATAGGGCAGCGTAATTTTCATATATATCAGTATATACTATATATATAATTACATATATATGTGTGTGTGTGTGTGTGTGTGTTGTGTGTCTGTTGTGTGTTTGTTGTCGGGTGGTTGTTGGACGGTTTTCGTGTGTGTGTGCAGTGGTGTTTGTGTTGTGTCGTGTGACAGGCATTTGGATTACAGCTCCGCGCCCTCACTCCTTCAGCTCCGCCCGCTCTCCCCTTGTTTCCCCGCTTTCTCTGCCCCGGTCCCCGTTTGCGCCCTCCTCCTGCGTGCCCACGCCAAACCGCTCCTCAGCCCCGCTCTCCTGCACACCAATGGATAGCTCCATCTTTGAGATCTTTCGCTAGAAACTCGAGCAGCGGCTGACGCCTGGTCGGTTCCAATCCCGCGGCAGTCCTCATCGTTTGATGGGCTAAGCAGGTACATCCCTGGTTTGATCGCTTGATGCTGCCTTGCCCTCAGCCGCCTGCAAGCCGCGCCAGCCGTTAATATCATATACATGAACTCGGATGGATGTATGGTAGATGGATGAATGATGGATGTATGAAGCCCAGACGGACGGACGAAACGGACGGACCGGACGATGATGGATAGGATGGATGGATGGATGGATGGATGGTGGATGGAATGGATCGATTGATGGATGGATGGATGGATGAATGGATGGATGGATGGATGGATGGATGGACTGGATGGATGGATGGATGGATGGATGGATGGAGCATGGCATGGATGATATGGATGGACTGGATGGATGGCATGAATGGATGGATGCGATGGATGGATTGTTTGGATGGATGCGATGGACTCGGATTGGACTGGATGGATGGATGGATGGATGGATGGATGAATGGATAAGAGGATAGATCATAAATGAATGAATAAATAAATAAACCAACAAATGAATAAATAAATAAACAAATATAATAATTAT